GTGAAGCTCCGCCCAACGCGCGTCAGACACACTTTTGCACCGCGCAGCCAGAGCATAACTGCACAAAGATCGCCACTGTGCTAGCAACGAGCATGCTTTTAAAATTTGGTGTTAAAGAATTTAGTGTTTAAAATTCGGTGTTAAAAAAAAAGGCAGATTCCAACGAGACTAATTTTCTTCCATAAATAAAGAGTATGGTGCAGTTCTTTATGCTCCTAAGAATGAAATTTTTTATTAAATGTTACTTATTGTCAGAAGCAAAACCAGTGGTGATGATGGGATTGCTCCTGTTACTATGGAAGAAACGGGTGCTTACAGCGTGTGAACAAATAGGCATAAGTTCTAAATATTTTCTATATAACAGCCATATAAGCATTTCAAGTAAATAAGAAAAACACAAAACCTACAAGTGAAATGGAATATTAAGAAATATATCTGAATATTTATACCCTGAAATGTCTTAACTGTTTCAACTTAAGTTTAAATTAAGTTCAAATGTGTTTCCCAATACGAATATGCTAAAATTTTTAAAATTACAATTTTTTTATGTGATGCAGGTCCAGGAGAGTCTAGGGAAACTGAAGGAAGTGTAAAATATTAATATTTTCTGCTTTTATTTTAGTTTTCAGGTTTGGATATCAGTGAACACTTAGTGTTATATAGAATAATGAATTTCCACTCATGTTTAAATAAATCTGCATTGTAAAGCAACCCTAACGTGTATTTTAAGTATTTTAGAACAAATACACAGAATTAAAAGCCTTGGGGTAGACTTAACCTGTAAGTTTAACATTGTATGGTTTTTAATAATAACAGGTCATTATCTTAAGTGGGGACGTCTGAGGCGTGAAACTCCAGGTCTGAAAGTTAGTCCCACTCCATTGCTGCGCTGGACGTTACCTTTTTTGGTCAGAGGGGAGTTGAGGACGTGCAGGGCATGAAACCCTGTCTTCTTCAGCTTAAAGCTGTCCAACGGAGTGGACCGAGACACGTTCCACACTCTTAATACTCCAACCTGTGAATCTGATGAGCAGAAATAAACCGTTTCCACCATTATTCTCAGTCAAATACAAATTTCATTCATTTAACTTTGTCTCTAATCCAAATGATCAGAGCGATTTGGAATATGAAAACGCTTCTGCATGCGGTCCCACACACCAGCTGGATATGAGCTCTTTGCTCAGATTAACACCAATGCAGAAATGAAAACCCACGTCCCACACGCTGCATATTTACCTCCAGTAATGAACATGCCGGGAGCTGATGGGACCCAGGCCAAACACTGAACGGATGCAGCAGCCGAGGGGAAACAGAAGGACGTGATGCATGCCAGACCCTCGCTGTCCACCAGCCTGATGCCGTTATGGAGGTTTGACACTGAGGTTAAACATGTGATGTTAGGAATACAGGAGGCTTCATGTTAATCAGATCATTCAATCAATCACAAATTCTATTTACGGAATACTAAAGGACTGCATGAATATTTTGCCAAAAAAGAAGCATTTCATAGAACCATAGAAGCGAACTCCTGTTGGTCCCGAGAATTCGACACTAAAGAATCATCTTCAGAGGATGAGACATCAGGCAGACAGAGTCCAGCAAACCTGAACTGTCTACCACTGAAAATACATTAACCAGACCTAGTAAGTAGTCAGTTGACAGGGGGTCCCACTCCAGGGCACTGATGGGGTCCTCTTCATCCGTCCCCTCTAAAGACTCCGGACGCAGCACATGCTTCTGGCTTTTACTCCCTACAGACAGCAGACAGGTTAATGGAAGATCCAGCTACTGCTAAACTAAACAGTTGGAACTAGAAATTGACCAATACAGATTTTTAAGGGCGATACCGACTATTTTGACACCACAAACTGATCCCCATTAGGGGCAGCTGACTTTTTAAATTTTGCATTTTCTTCCTCCACTCTCATGATAATCACACATGTCTCAAATTAGGCAAAAAAAGAACATTTATCAACAAATGAAAACACTAACAATGGAAAGCAGAGGAAGGGAGCAGCAATCCATGTCCCTCATGTGATCTTAAGGCCTGAAGACGCTAATGAGTAGGGCTGGGGATTTTTGCCTGAATCGTTTAGATTTTGATTCATACAGTTCCAAATCGATTCATTTCGATTCGATCTGTTTTTACAATAATGAAAGTGGTTCAACTGTGTTTCAAAATACTCATGTATTTTGTTTTTTCCCGTCACATTAAACAAACATTAAACATTTATAGGTTTGCACTTTGTAAATCAGACAGTTTAAACGTGAGATGTGAACAAAACTGTCTCAAAAGTACAAACTTGTTTGTGAAAAATGAAAAAGTGAAGCCTCACTCGAGCAAGCAGACGTGACACAGCAGACATGCATGAGCTGCATTATCTTCACTGCACAAACTATATTTGCTGCGTCGTCAGTAACAACTACAGGGTGTTTGCTGGTCAGCCTCCATTTGTTAATGTCTTCAGTCAACCTATTGGGTATATTTGCAACGCTATTCACCAATAAC